TTCCGGAATTTTTCTTCCAAATTTCACACCGTTCGGTGTCTTTTATTGGAAATTGGAACAATACAAAGCTGGTTTTGCCTTTTTTTAAAAAACATTTGTTATATAAACAAGTATTTGTAGGTAAATTATTCATTTTCGCTAACGAATTAAGTACAACAACCTACTTGAGCAATTGCTTTGTGCAAACTGAATTAAATTTAATCTAGTCGACCTTCACGATGCATTCGACCGGCGCGGCGAATTGCATAGAAAGTGGGGATGCTGATGACGACGCGTTTCTTACTGTCTCACTCTAACGGTCTCACTCTAATTTAGAATTTAAATCTCAAGATAAAATCGACGGTGGCGCCTCTAACAACTGGGATCGATTTTGGAGTTATTTTAAATACATTAGACCACGCCTCTTCCCCACTTCTTTACTCAATGGTTTCAACATAAAATATAATATATTTTATAGCTTTTTAACTGTTTCTAACAAATTTTTCTTGGTTTTTAACTCATAATATATATATGTATATGTTTTTGTTAGAAAAACAGTTTAAAAACTTCTCATTAAACATACTCATTAAAATGGAGATTTTTTTATTTAAAAATAATTTATAATTATACATACTAATTATACAAAATCACAAATTTAAGGCTAATAAGCCTTAAGGTATTAATATTATTTGTGTACTACAAAAAATAAATATTTTTTTAATTTGAAAAACCCTATTTAATATTTTTAAATTAAATGGGCTAGAAGTACACGTTACTCAAGGTATACAGATCCGTTTTAATTCTAAATGATATACCCAAAAGGTTTTATACAGGGTGTCCACAAAATACGTGTACAATAGATTTTTTGGTTTAAAAAAGGTCATTCTTTTACTAAAATAAAATGGTTTTAACCTTTATGTGGCTAAAAAACGTAATATACAGGGTGCACAAAGTATCCTTCAAATAAAAAAGACCCATAAGTGGATGTGTAGAACATACATTTGTTTATGTGTATACTTCTATGGGTATTTTTACAAGGTCGTTTAAAAAAGAGAAAATTTGCGTAATTGCAAACCAGCTGGTTTCTTGGCTACTGGACCAGACCATGGAAAATTCCAATATGGCGGCCATAGGAAAAACAAAAGATGGTGCTGGTAAGCCAGAAGTAGGCAAAACAAATTACAAATTTAATGTGTATGTTTACATGTAAATAATACTGTTCTTCAAAATTCTCAGGAATAACGAATTTATAACAATTTTTTGTTTTGACAGGTTTTCAGTTTTTTTTAATTATTTGAGAACCGCAGTTTTTTCCGAATTTTTATATGCCATTTTAATACACTTTTCTATAATTTAACCGACCTTGTATACAAGGTAGCTATAGCTACATAGAAGGATACTTGGTGCACCCTGTACATATACATAGATGCAGATAAACTTTGCGATTTTATTTTTGCTGTAAAAGATATCTAATTGCATTTATAACCTGGGTACTCAAATTGTCATTTGTGGGTGAAAAAACTTTATTATTATTAAAAAAAAAGCGCAAAAATGTAATTCAAATGTCACTGAACGAATTTAAAAAAAAAATCATATAAGCTGAATGGGTACCTATTCAGTAAAATCAGAGGTATAATATCAAACCCAGAAACGTCCATTTGAGTAATATTTTTATAAATTAAAAAATACGCTATTAAAGTATTTCCTTGGAAAAAAGATGTACTAATTAGTAATATGCATATTACTAATTGGTACAGCTCCTTTTTTCAAGCTGAATACTTTAATAGCAATAGTATGTTATTTTTACTTTACTAGTAAGTTGGATTAAATCAACCTATTTTGACTAATGTCATTGTACACATATTTTTCAAATACAGTATAAATTATATTGAACAGGGTTTAATATTAAAAATGGGATTTAACACAACAATACAAACATTTATCAGTATAGCTAGAAATAATTAATAAGATGACATAAAAATAAAGAAAAAGTATAAATTAAGAACACATGAAATTGCATTTATCATACAGGGTTTTTCTACTCAAAATGGACAACGTAATAGTGTAGCTAGATATTGAGACAAACACTTTATTAAATTAAATATTTTTTATTTGAGCTTTTGTTTTTGAATTATCGACCTTATTTTGTTTACAGAAACCTTTTTATTTCCGCTATTCAAGGCCGGATTTTAAAAATAAGTGTTTAGCTTAATTTCAACAATTTTTGTGCTAAACATTTTTAAGTCCAAAAATTATTATCATTATCATAAAATCAGTTTTATAGTTCAAACTTAACTTTTGTGAGAATATTTTAACTATTTTATAAAATATAATAATTTAATTTTGTAAAAAAATTTTAATATTCTCAAAAAAATGCATTTTAAACTTTTAAATTAAATTTAGAAAATGATTTGTGCTATTTTTAATCTCACCAATTTAATTAATAATAAATAGAAAAAAAAAGCAGAAAGAACTCACGTCATAGTTATTTAATATACTATTATGTAAAGTATTTCAATAAACCTTTTTATCTACGTTTATGCCATACATTTTATGGCCATATTTAAAAATGTTAATATTAAACTAAACGCTCCAAAAAATTATTTTTTAAAATCCGCCGCAAATAACAGATAAAAAGGTTTACGTAAAAACAAAAGAAGTCGATAATTTGAAAAAAAAAGCTCAAATAAAAAATATTTATTTAAAGTGTTAATGATATCTACAACCACTATTACGTTGTCCTTTTTAAGTAGAAACACCCTGTATAAATTAAAATTGCTGGTTTGACATTTTAAAATTATATAACAAAAAAGGTACCTAATGCAATAATAATAAATTATGTAAAACATTTATAAGTAATTAAAAAAACAGATAATTTGTCCCTGTAGACTTTATAATATAGAGACTTTAATTAGTGTATATTTCATAATTTTATGCTGTGGACAAACCACTTAACAAAATTGTCATTTAAATAAAAATTTATGGCGATGTGTTTTTTCACAAGCCTTTCCTTAACTCATAAATTAAATAGTGGGAGAAAATACGAATGTATAAGTATTTTTTCATTAAAGGTCTCAGTTTTCATATCTAGATATCACATAAGTATACTCGCCGAGTATTACTCGGTTAAAAAAAGTCTGGAAAACGTTTTTTCCTCAGTAAGGTAGGTATGAGTGATGACATTAAAAAATTATGTCAAATTGTCATTACTAAAATAATTTACCTAAATAAAATGTCATATTTAAGATTGACGAGTCATTTTCATAAACCGCGAAGTTTTAACTTGTAATTATATAATTAGGAAACACTTGATAACCCTATATAATAATAATAATTGGCCAAACAATATACAGGGTGTCCCAAAAATCATGCAATAAAGCACATTTTAAGTACTAAGACCAATCACAAAAAAACAGCTTTATCTCCCACTCCTTAATCTAAGAATTAGTTTTAAATATTCCTTATTCTATGATCACATATTTTTTAACTATTGCTAAATGAATTTTTTTTTAGATTTATTAAAAGAGCATCCAATTTAAAATTATGCATATTAATAATTACTAAAACTTGTTGAATTCATTTTAATTAGGTACTTTTACATAGGTATAGTACTATAGGGTGAGCCAAAAAAACTAACCTATCGGATTTATGGGTTAAAATGAACCTACATACCGAGCAAAAAATTTCCCTGCAAGGCAAAATTTTTTGCTCAATTTTAAAAGGTGTCGGTGAGCATTCTAAGTTTTCCATTGAAATAACACGTAAAAAAATCTTTTTTCATTAAAAAGACTATAACTTTTGAACCGTTTGAGATAAAATTTTTTACGTCGCGGATTCTTGTAGAGCATAAAATTTCCCAAAGAATCTATACCAGGATTATTTTTTTTAATTCAAAAATTCGTATGTTTGAAAACTTTGAAAAGTGTAAAAAATCACTAAAACTGCAGTTTTCTTTTTAATGAAAAAAGATTTTTTTACGTGTTATTTCAATGGAAAACTTAGAATGCTCACCGACACCTTTTAAAATTGAGCAAAAAATTTTGCCTTGCAGGGAAATTTTTTGCTCGGTATGTAGGTTCATTTTAGCCCATAAATCCGATAGGTTAGTTTTTTTGGCTCACCCTAGTATGTACATTACTTAATAATTGGATAACGTTTATCGAAAAGGAACCAAGCGCCAAAAACTTTTTCTGGACTTAGTAAAATTATTTGTAAAATAATTGAATCTGTGAGAATAAGGACAGTACATGTCCAAAAATTTAATTTTGACAGGTCATTTTTTAAAACCCAATTTTAAAGTTCAAAATACATTTTTGTGAGATGATATAAATCATTTTAAAGAATATGAATATTATATTTTATAAAATAGTTAAAATATTCTCACAAAAATGTATTTTGAATTGATTTTAAAAAATGACTTGTCAAAATTATATTCTTGGGCTTGTACTGTTTTTATTCTCACCAATTCAATTCATATTTAATAATGCTCAAAAGGTTAATCATCATTTGGAACTTTTCTCAAAAGAATTGAGAAGGTTCCCAAATCATTATTTATTTTTTGAGCAGGATTAAAAATGAGTTATTCTGCAAATAATGTTGTTTACCACTGAAAAAGTTTTTGGCGTTTGGTTCCTTTTCGATAAACGCTATCCAATTAATTTACCTATTTAAAAATAGATAAGATAAACCTTTGCGTAAACATTATCAAATTATACTGCGAATATATGAAATTTCTAGCACTCCCAAGCCATGGCTAATGCATTCATAAATATTATTTAACCAATTAAAAATAACATAAAATAATTTTTAGGTTGGCAAAAACAACTAAAATTAATATTTGTACGTCTAAATATTTTAATAATATATGTCATAAATTTGCTCAACATGCTGAAGATAGGAGAGAATGGAATAATTCCTTAATAAAGAATTATAAAATCAATTAGCAATGTGTATTATTTTATTTTCATTAAAAAACACAATTTATAATTTGTGAACCTTAAATTAATGTTTTAACAATTTTAGCACCCAGGCTTGGATTTGCTTTAAATTTGTTAACTGTCATTATAAATAATATTTCTAGAGAATTCATGAAATCACTAGGCAAAAGACATTAAATGATGAGTATCAAAAATATGTTCAACCTCAATCTTAAGATCATTTCTCCTTGCAGCACTTAAAGCATTACATAAAGCAGTTCTCAGTTTATGAGGCTCGCAGATTCGTTCATGGTATTTTAGGACTTCCAATGTAGACTCATCAACTGTTGAATATTTAAGATTTAATTGGTCAATTTGACCTTCTTTTATATTAAGGTATCGGGCAAATTCCTTCCAACGGGTACCAATTTCAGATCTTATTTTATCATATACTCTTTGTTTTAAATCTGGATGGATAGGAAGAAATATAGGAGCTAAAACCATGTTATATAGTTTTAATGTTGATTTATATTGTTGTTAAATTTCATATAATGGGACAATTTAAAATTATCTTTATGAAAAATTAGTATATAAAACAATTTGTTTCTACTGAGTCGTATTACATTTATATTTTCCAGAACCAGAAACGCGGTTTTTTAACAAAAATAAGAAGCCTTTTTACATCATAAATAATTTATAAATTATATAGAAATAAAAAATCCGTTTATTTTTAGTTAATAACTAAAACTACAGGATCCTGTTCTTTTTAAAATAGCCTTGCAAAAATTTATAAATTTCATAGGTTTACTAATTTTTAGTTTGTTTAATTTAGTGATATAAGTAAACCAGAACGTGATTACACCCAAAAAGTATTTCAAATTTCCTGCCTTATACATGTACATTTAATAGCAGGATTAATTTAATTTACAGGATTTCTCAAAAACTGTTAAATTTACGAACAATCAATATATTAGTCAGTATTACAAATCCACTGTCAAGGTTCTTAGCTTGCATATACTCAACCAAAAATGTGCTATTGACATAATTTATTATTATTATTAGTAAGGTATTGTAATGAATAGTATTCATCATACTCTCCCACAGAGTATTCATTGAGAATCCCCATACCACTATCTTTGATTGAGAATCAATTGTAACTAAACAACTAACACTGTCTTTTTTTATTATTATTTAAGTTTTAATGTGCTTCCAACAGGCACATGCCCAATTACAGGAATACACAGCCAAACACAAATAAACAGCCATACCCCATGTCCAAAATATGATAACTGAATAAGAATAATATATGAAAGACTAAAATTGTCCCATTATGTGAAATACACCCTTATAATGAGGATTAAACTTACATATTTCAGGATTATTGTTTGATACCCCATGGCTAATTTCTGGAACAATGTGTTGAACATACCCATAATTCCTAATTAAGTTTTTTAAGTCATGCCTTTGAAGATTTTCAGCTATAATTTTAAAAACTTCTATGTTATCTCGATGCAGGTGGTATCTTTTCTCCAATATGGAAATAAGATCACTTAGATTGCCTATAAATTCCATTTCCCTTTTGGAGTTGATGCTACTAGAAAAAATCTCCTTAAGAGAGCTCAATATGTCAGGTGAGCACCGTAATGAAGTAATTTTTTGCCGTAAAACGCTGTACTCATCGTTATACGCCATAATTTCATTTTTTACTTAACTTAACGAAAACAAAACATTGGTCCTTCAAATTTGACAATAAGTTGACGTTAACAAATACTTAAGGTATGTTTACATAAATATTTACTTTTAAATTATAATTGACATATTATTATACAATGTTAATTATAATAATAGGAAATTATTATAATTTTAACAGTCCTTAAAAATAAATAATGTTCTTATTTGTTTTTAATATCGTTTTTATGTTAACTGGGTTGCATAAAATTAAGTGTAAAAAAATACAGGTTTTAATTTCGGTTTTAATTTAATAAAATTATTTTTAAAATTAATTTTTGAATGGGCAAGTGGACGAAGGGGTTAATAATCAATGATGAAAAATCTCCATATATCTTAAATATTACATATTATCAGTGGCGTATTTAGGATTTAGCTCCGGGCAGGGGCGGACTGTTGACTTTAGGGGCCCTGGGCTAAAACTCTATGGGGGGCCAATCAATAATTAAAAATAAAAAAACAAGAAAAAATAACACTTATTTTTAATAAAATAAATGAATAACATAAATAAAGTAAATAATATAAATAAAACATTCCAGCATTTATTCTAGGTGTCCCGAGAATAAATAGAAGTTATAATCATTTTAGTCCATTAATCCGTTAACGAGTTATATAATTTCAAAATAAAAATTTTTTATGTACCTAAACTTAATTTAAAAGTAAAATCGCGATTACCAACCAATAATATTAATGGGTGATATTTTAAATCATAAGGCTATTAAAATAATTTTTTTAGAGAATTTAAATAAAGTTTACTTATTATTTTATGATAAATTTACTCGTTAAAAATTATTTAAGACAATTTCATAGCAAATTTTAAGTTTTTCTTACTTTCCCGGTAAAACAATCAGAATTTTACAAAATTTTGACAATGATCATACATTTTTTGTAGATCATTTTATTTTCTATAAAAATATGTCATAATTTTTTTTATGTTTTATTTATGATTTACTGGTTTAACCAGTATAAATACAAATATTTTTTGCAATAAAATTTATATTTTTTAAAATTAATTAGTATTTTAATCAGAATTATTAATTTGTAAAATCAGTAACTGTAGATAGAGCTATAAATTTTACAATTATAAAATTACACAATTTTTTTAAAAATAAAATAATCTACAATTAATATATAACTTTTTGTTATAAGTCTGATAGTTTTAGCGGAAAAGTGAGAAAAACTTGAAATTTACTATAAATGTAATTTTAAGCTTGAATAACTTTTTAACAAGAAGATTTATTATAAAATAATAGGAGACCTCTTTGTAGAGCGTTTACTTTAAATTATTTATTAAAATTATATTTTTGAAATATGTTGTTTTCATTTAAGTCTATTAATCCGTTAAAAAGATATGTCGGAGAATAGACATTAATTTGATTGTCGTGTTTATAAATAACAATTTGGTAAAATAAGCAATGTTGTTTATCATAAATAAGATAGATTTTAGAGGAACAGTTTTTATGTCTGCAGTCCGATAAGGATGCATTAGTGAAGGTGATGACTAACGATCACCAAACGTAGCCACGGTCCCATGGGAACGTAGAGATAAAGATCCAAAAAAGGTGGATATGTACCAACCCTCGGGGGGGGGGGGGTTAGATGGCCATTATTAATCGGGCAATAAGACAGTAAAGACGCGAGTAAACCCGGAGACCGCGGAATTCGTTATAGTCGTTTCATACTTTAATTTACTTTGTGCGTATAATTTTTAGCGTCTATCGTTTTGTCTAGTTAGATATTCGTAATGTACTAATTGTCGAGAATCAGTTTTTGATTGTTGTGAATGATGTCCAAGTCCAAGCAACGCGGCCCCGAAAACACCGATTTTATATTTTTAAAATATGTTGTTTTGTTGTATTCATTTAATCCGTTAAAAGATATATAAATCCCAAGATAATTTTTTTTCATGCTATTTACATGAGATGAGGGGGCCTCTTAATAATAATATTAAGAGCTGAAAATTTAACAGGCTCAATATTTTACCTCTATGCAACTATTAAATAGTTGATTTTTTATTCAGTCTGATTTTAAAAAAATATTTACATCGCGTAAGAGGCCCTCGATCGGACGGGGCCCTGGGCTGCAGCCCATAATGCCCATGCCTAAATCCGCCCTTGGCTCCGGGGGGGGTCCAAAAAAACTAACTAAATATGCTTTAATAACTATCTATTCATGGTATAGTTCTATTTCTTTTCGCGCCTCGATCATAACGACACGAGAAAGAGGTAGGAACGATATACCTACAGGGTTGCCAAACCACCTCTTTCTCTTTAATACGTAAGTAGTTGATTTTAATGATTTTATATTTAATAAATAATTAAGTACGTTGACAGTCTTGAGGTTTTTATTTTTTTGTAATAAAAATAATAAAATATGTGCGCCCGGGGGGGGGGGGGTCCGGACCCGGCGGACCCCCCCTAAATACGCCACTGCATATTATGTAGGTTGTGGAGGCAGGGAAGGATCCAGACATTTCATTTGGGTGTGGAGTAAGGTACCGCCGGTTGGGTTTAACAAAACAGTAATTTTTTAAGTTATTTATTGTTTAGGTACCTATAGGTCCTATAGGGCCGGTCCTTGACTTAAAGATGTAAATAATACAATAATAAATTGGTTTTTGGGGGGTTCGTGACCCCTATGACCCTCCCCTGGATCCGCGCTTGGGTGCGGGTACTAAATCCAAGGCGAGGTTGTAAATTGGAGCTAAACGTTAACTGATTACTAAGGCCCGGATTTTTAGGTCATGAAAAAGTGATAAAAGGTTCCTAAATTAGGTGATATTTTTAATAAAATAGGTTATTATTTTAGGTACCTATATTTTAGGTACTTAATTAAAAAGTTAATATTGGTTGGCCCGTATTTTTAGGTTATAAAAAAGTAAAAAAAAATGCAAAAAATAGGTCACATAGTTATAAAATTAGGTTATTATTTTAGGTGCCTACATTTTAGGTACTTAAATAAAAAAAATTAGCTGATTTATTGAAATAAAATGTTTTCATTATAATGTCGATATCGTTGTAAAACCATACATAGGTCTTATGTAGTTTTAGTTACATTATAATTGCTCTGTTAATGTCCGGCAATAAAGGATTTAAATTAAAAATGAAATGGTTATTAAAATAATATTTATTATTAACATTAACTGAACAAAAATATTTGGTTGGAAAAATAAAAAATAACATAAAAGATTCTTTAAAAAAGTAAATATATCTATCACAAATAATGTATGCATGACAGACAAAATATTTCTCCAAGTTTCGCCCTCGGTGGTGTAGTACACTGTTCAAAATCAAGCCTTTTGAAATACCTAATCAGAATTAGTTAAGGAAAAATAAGGTAATATGCTTAAACGAGTAAAGCAATTTACCTTCTCGTTTATTAGGCAGAAACGAATGCCTTAGTTCTATGGTGTATTCACTAACTTCAAGATAAATATTCATACTTTACTTAATAAACTTGTCAAATTTAAAAAGATAGGCAGATTATCTAAATATTTAGTCAAAATCTCAATTAATTTTGCTGTTAATTTAGGTAATTCTTCTAAATTATTATAGCAAATTATTGAACTAATTTAGGTAAATTCCTTTAAATATTAGTGACTTACTTGCAATCGGCTACGATCGCTAATACCGACGTTTTACGATAAATATATATTTTGATTTTGGCATTAAGCTACATTCGTAATGAATTCGCTGGCCGAGTGGCAATTTGACTCGCAAGCTAAGCAAATGTGTAACAGTGTGATCGTTCACAATGAAATTCGACGTTAAAGTGGAAGTTGAAGTGGGCAAAATTTCTTGCAAGCTGCAAACTTCGACTTCAACTTCGACTTTCGTGCCGGCTATGCGACATGCGCATTGCCTTTGTTATGAAGGTTTGACATTTTCAATGGCGTTGAGTTTTGTGTGTGTAGTGTTTTTAATGTGATTAAATACATTTTTCTTGCTTTATTTCAATAAACTACCCATTGTTAATGTAAATGTACACTGATAAAAAAATGGGACAAATAAACTGTTTACCTAATACTTTTATTTGTAGTGAATATATTGTTTATTACCTCTAAATAGTCGAAATAATAACGATAAATATACTTTAGTAAAACTTTATATGTCGGGAATAAAAATATATTTAGGATAAATAAACTGTACCCTTGTCCCATATTTAAATATTTTTTTTATTTGGGAGCAATAAACTTTTTTCTCCGTGTATGTATGTATGTATGTAACTTAATGTATACTAGTTTTTTATTATTATTATTTATTATTATAAAGAGAACATTAGTGTTTTGTAACACATTTTAATAAGAATGTATCCTTAAATAAACTATTACACAACATAAGTAAACTATTTGATTGATTGTTGTCCATTTTTGCATATAAAAATAACACCAAGCAAAAACAAAATAATGCAAATTCTAACCTTACAAAGAACATGACAGTTACCAACGCCCATGCGTTAAATTCGACTCTAAAGTTATTGTGAATGGTAAATTTCGTGCCGACTTGCGTGCCAAAGTGTCACTCGGCCAGCGAATTCATTACGAATGTAGCTTTATGGTGGACAATATAGGCGCGAATATTCGCGCCTATATTGTCCACCATAATGCCAAAATCAACGAAAGCTTAAAGACCACGTTGTGTGCTATTGATATATTAACATAGTTAACAATTATTGTGCTATAAGTGAACATTTTGTAGTGCTATACTTAAGTAATCCAAACTAAATGGAATTTTCCATTGACCCCAATTTATTTTTAAATAATCCCAACCCTGCAGGGTACATGTAGTACCGGAAACGCCGTTATTAATTCGCCTATAGGACATAAAGATAAAGGAGTCCTAACTTGGAAGAAAATTCCTATGCTAGGATTTTCATAATTTGCCTGAAAACTTAGGGCCATTCCACGCGTAACGGATGGGACAGTTGCATGTTTTTATTTACAAAATAATATTGTTCTATTATATTACCAATGTCAAACTTTTACAAATAAACTGCGCACC